TTGTATATTTATCTAGTGATTTCTACATCGTTGATGGAGATCAAGCCCCTACAAGCAAGAAAGGAGGGTTGCCTGCTTGCTCAAAATCGGCTGAGCCAACTACTGCCTGCCCTGAATCGGCTAGGTCGACTATCCCTGCTAGTACCCAAGCCGGCCTAGCTGACTTCCAGTCATCTAAGCCCACTTTCTTGGTTCCTGCAGATGACGATGCGTCTTCGGATGATTCGACACCTATTATTGATCATTCTCTAGAGATGAAGAGCAACATCATTCAAATCAAGGACGTGTACTTCTCCAACACAATCAACAAGGTAGTAAACATAAATATTTTGCTCAAATTCCTTTTCGGACTGTCGACACGGAATTTCGTCACATGCCGAGGACACACGAGTAAGTCGGAAGGGTCTGCTCAATGGAGCTGGAGATCCGCCTAGCTTCAGCGCAGGGGTGGTCGATCCTGCGCACTCCTCCCGAGACGTGCCCGTCAATTTGACCCTGTAATTGACAAGGAGAGAAAGCTTATCAGTAATTAAGGGCGGAACATACCGGTGTTGCCAGACAGTCCCGAATGTGCGGCTCTGAGAGCCGATATGAAAGGAGATCAACTAAATAGTCGATTCCAACATATTCGTAAGAATAAATCGGTTAAAGCTCATGGGTTTGTGTAAGAAGAATCGGTTATCATTCTGGATGGATATCATTGTTTTAGATAAATATTGGTCACTAGCAAAAAGATATCAACAGTAATTAGTTCATGCTAAGCCAATGACTGTAAGTAACCGAACTCCTTTATAAAAAAATAGTTCATCATCATTCAACTATTTAATAGAGATAAATCTAATGAACATGTTAGATCTAATCTATCGCTATGACCAGTGGGGCATGAGGCAGAATCATGCAGGCCGTAGAAACAATATAGACTCGACGACCCTAACTTATTACTAATATCAGTGGGGCATGAGGCAGAATCATGCAGGCCATAATACAATAATAAGATCATGGGACTAATACATTTTTCAACCTATCACTACTTCAACGATCTCGTGATGCGAACTATTCGTGAAAGCGCTGATATATCGGCTAAAAACAGCCCAATTCGGGCATAATGATGATTAAGGTCATGTCCTCTCAGAACAGATCTACAAATAACTATCCCCACTCTATGGATGGGGTGTGGAAAGAATAACATAGGCCATGATATTGCCAATAGATATATCAAGATCTTAACAAGAGACGCTTATCTATGCGATCAAGATTGATGTAAAACAAGCCGATAAAAAACATAACTCATCGTTTAAAGTACAGATTAGATCAATTTAGATTAACAAACAATGGGTTAAAAAAGATATAAGGCAGATCTAGATCAATCCCAATCAAAGGCTAAGTGATATTCTTCGTAATTAAATAAACAATGGAAGCAATAAGCAATATCGGTAACTTAATGAATCTATCCGGAAGGAACGCGTCATCCTTAGATAGAGCCGATAACTTGACCTTAATCTAGTTCGAAAGCGGTGGAGGTTTAACCCGGATCGATCATGTACCGTACTTGAACTAGACAAGAGTAGATAACTAACTCATAAGTCGCATGAGAGTAGCATCGGATCGACGCACCGTATGAAAGGTATAAGCCATGACGGTGCTCAAATGGAGGTCATTTGGATCGATCATACTGAAGAACTTTCAGATCTACTCTACTCCTACTCTTAGCCCAAAAAAGTAAATAACTTGTATTGATTGATTGTGTGCCTTTTATAATAACCGGGTTTGGTATTTATAGACCTAAAATGAATCTTAGAAGTACAACTCGGTACAATTTTGACCCTAGAGAAAACATTTTTTAAGATAACTTGGATAAAGTGTCCATCAATAAATCTCCGGCGCCGAAGCCTTTCATTATCGACCGATTCTAGTCATGAATGATGCCATTTGACATGATCTTGGGAGCTGAGTCCGTGACTTTTCTTCCAAATTTTGGTTTAAATACGGACATACTATTTCAATTTCACAATTAGATATCATTTTAAAAGACCGAAAGAATGATATTTTATTGATGATAAAAGGACCAACATATGATACCATATGGCAAGGCCGATGTGATTGATATTGAAATCAAAAGGAATCAAAGGAATCCTTTGTTTGATTGATATTTTAAAGCCTAACTTTAAAGCCAACTCCACAAAAGAATCGGCTAAAGAAATCAAAGTACACCTTTGATTTTACTTTTTGTGATCATGTCTTTGATATCTTGCTTAAGAATAATTTTATTAGAATCATTGATCACAATGTTTTGCCATCTATTCAAAACTTAGAAGACCTTACATATTGCAAGTGGCATAACTCATCTGACCATAATACTTCTAATTGCAATATGTTTCGTCAAGTGATCTAATCGACCATTGATAAAGGATGATTAAGATTTTCTAAAGCTCAACAAATGGACTAGTTGGATTCAATTGGTCTTGATGGCAAATAGGTTTTGAATCGGTTTGCATTAGATGATACCCTCAAAGCTCAAGACTCAAATACCTAAGAGAGAGATATGGAGCCCTCAAGTGTAGACAAGGTTGTTGTTCATGAATTGCAAATAGAAGATATTTCAGAGGACAACAAAATATCACAATTTTAGAAGACACTGGGCGGCAGGTGAAATCTCTCCAACCGAAGCAAAGGTCGATTGATCCCATTGAGCAAGAGGAATCGATTAAAGATCCTCCATTGAAGCATGTCTGTCAAGACAAGGAGAAAATGGTGGATGCTCACATAGCTATTGGAGGTAAAGGCCATGACAAGCAAAAGAGTAGAAGGCCAAAGCTTAGCTTCTAGGAACTTCTAGCTAAATATACGAAGGAAGCAGAAATGAATGTCACTAATCGGCCAAGAAAGGTCCCATCATCAAGATTGCCTTGAAAGCACAAATATCAAGAGCGGAATTGGCAAAGGAATAGATCACACGCAGTAGCAACATATTCTCTTTTGAGCAACCAATTCCTATGTCATATTGACCACAACCCACTGGTTTTCATCCTAATCCACCATAGGGGTGATTTGATCAACAGGCACATATTCCATCATACTTTAGGCCACAATATGTAGAGTATGCAGCTCCTAGATATTCAGGGAGATCATCATCTTATAAATATCGTTTTGATCAAAATCGGTCTAGAGTTCAACATAAGAAGAAGGTGGTAAAACAAGTTTACCACGTGAAGTATGATGGCGAAAGAAGAAAAGTGAAGATCTAAATGCAACTATTGAAAAGTCGATTACATTGTTAAAAAATCTAGCTATTGATGGCAAAGAAGAAAGTAAGTTGCAAAAACTTAGTGCAGAAAAACTAAAAGAAAAAGGCTTAGCGTGGGTTCTAAAAGGAGTGTTCAAGCTTAGAAGGATGATGCTCAAGCAAGTGGTGCAACAAAGGCGAAGGAAAGGAGATTCAAGAAATGTTTGCTAAATTAGGGGTTTGCACCAAATCATCAAAATTATTGGTCATGGCATCATCCATATTCTATGCTTATGCCGATGTGGAATTCATCCCTCGGTACACATGGTTATCCCTCAGCTCCTTAATTTGATCCTTAGTATGGGTCTTTATATTATGGAGGGATGCCAGATTATTTTGCTTATCAATGATTTCTATTTTAAGAGCCAAAGTATTGTATTTCAGCTATGCATACTCATGTGTATGGATTCATATGGCAATATTTTATTATCACCCTTAGCGTAAAATATAGCCAATGAATACTTGTAACCATCGTACTATAACTCTATAAAATTATTTTGATGGCTTCAAGACCGAGAGGCATGATACATGTACGACTGAAAAAATTGATCGAGCTAATTATTGTCTTTAGCACAAAATATATATGACTCAGTGACCATGTGTATTTATGTAATCTATATAGCACAACCGATCACAAAAATCATATAAGAGCATCTCCAAAAGTCTTTCTAAAATTTACTCTCTAAAGCCATCACTTGGAGAGTCGTTTAAGTAACAATCGATTTCTATATCTTTGTGTCATCTAAGAGTTTTTTTTATATCTTGTGCGTAATCTAGAGAGTCATCCTCAATCTTTATCTTTGGCTAGCAAAAAATCCAAAATAAGGATATCTATATTTGGAAATCCAATTAAGAAGGTTGCCGTTAGAGGGTATTCTTTAAAAAATTTCTATTCCTATCCTATAAATTAAATTAGAAAGGACTAGCAAACATGCCCGTGCGTTGCAACGATATTCAATATGTAGTGAGTTATAGCACGGGTCATGAGTTTGAGTCAAAAATTAAATTAACTTAGTGGTAAAAATATTTATTTCTTAAGGAGTCAAAGATTAAAATGGATGTGATCTCTTATTTATGGTTTATTTTACTCTTATTATATTTATTAGAACACAAAAAACCAGATGGATAAAACAATGAAAACAAGATTAGAAAAGTCAAGTTATTGTCAAAAACATCCACGAGAAAAAAAATCAGAGCATATACTTGAAGCCAAATAGAAAACAGTCATGATAAAAATTAGAATGTACTTTAGAAAATAGCAAAAAAAACCAAAACATATTCGATCGGAGCCAAGTGAAAAGCGTCCAAATGAACGTAAAGCAACATGTACTCGGAGCAAGTAAAAATAGACAAACCTAGGAAAAAGTGAAAAAACAAAAAGAAACTAAACAAAAAATTCTACCCTTCTTTTCTCTTTATTAGATTTCTATTCTTATATTTTTGCATTTGGATTAAGATTCATATTCCGGTTACTTGGAGTTGGAGAAATCTAATTTGATTAAGATTCCTAGTTATCCATATTATTATATTTTTCCTATTTGGATTAAGATTTCTATTCACCCGAAATCGGAGAGATCTAATTGGATTAGAATTCCTAGTTATATAAAAAGAAGGGTTATAGATGGTTTTTCATATTCACAAAGTTAGTTAAGGGATGGCCGAATCAAAAAATAGGTGGAGAGAATTTTTGCCTCTTTATTATTAGGTATAGATATAGATGTTCGTTAAGACCCACCTCGGTTATCGGACCTCCTCAAATATGCGTGCGGCCCGCATAAGGTTTGGGTGGGCCGAAATCGGACCTAGTATTCAGTTCGAACTTGGAATCCCTCGTTGGGTGTGTTTTGTTTGAGGGATGAGGTGGTCTATCTTCTTCTCACTTCTCATTTTTTTATTTGATTTGTGGAATAGAATGAGATGATCTATCACCACCTTATTTCTCACAAACTAATAACTAGTACATCGTGGAATGAGTTGATTCAAAACTAAAATTCATGAGATGAGTTCACCTAGTATGGATTTTTTTTTCTTTTGAGAATCTCATGAAGCCTGGAACTTTTTTTTTAGGGGAATGAAGCATGGATGACTGTAGAAACAAAACAGAATGATACACACCGGCCCATACGTCTCAGCTTGTGAGCCCAATCGTCCTGGCCTCACATCCCCCTTAGGCCCATCAACAAGCCGCGCTGCTCTCGTCTCGTCGGCCGGCCCCTCGCGTTCTCTCCGTTTCTGCCTTCCTCGCCCACCGCCGCGAAAAGCAGTAAAGCACGCAAAGACCCCGCCCCCCAATTCCAATCTCGCCGCCGGCGCTCCGCTTCGCACCGCCAGGAGCAGCCTGTCCTCCCTCCGATTGACTTTTTCTCCGCGGCTTCAATCCCTGAGCCCCTGGAGCCGCCTCGATCCGGACTCGCCCGCGTTGCGTTGAGTTGGGGAACGAACGTCTCCGTCTCCGTTGCTCCCCCTGCTAGCATCATCAGTTGTCGCTGGAATTGGTATGCGTCTTTCTCGATCGACTCTCCTCAAATCCGATCTATCCGCGCGCGTGTCTTCCTTTCTACAGAGTATTCTGCTTTTGCAACTTCATGACTGCGGCTTGTGATGGACGAAAACGTAATCATCATCATTCGTATATATAAACGGATATATTGCTATGCTACTTCATCATGCTTCGAATAGAGACCTAACCTGCTAGGTCATATCTGCTACTAATATAAGCATATTTAATCTAGTTATTATGAGAAATACATTCCAACAGCTACAGAAACATCACTGTTCTTATTCTAAGCAGATTTAATAACTGTACAAGTTTCCCGCTCATGTTCACCACTATTCTGGCTTCATGCATGATACACCTCGATTGTGTATTTGGCACTCTCATCTAAGTCTAATGACACTGATTGTTCACAATTAGTTCAACAATGATTGTTCACTATGAGCTAATTGTGAACAATCAGTGTCATTAGACTTAGATGCGAGTGCATGCAATAGGTGGCCTCTCCAAATTTGGTAGTGCTGGCACAAGCTAAGTGCTAGTGCTAATCCTAGCATAGGATCTGTGGGCTGTGGCTACCAGCCACAATCACAAGAGAGAACTGACATTAGGATTTCCTGTAACTCAAGTTTTAGACTTTCACAATTTTAATTTGTATTATTATTTATATTTATTTATTAAAAAATAGTAAAACGTATCCGCATATCATGTTTTCTAGAAAATTGCCGTATCCGCGTATCCGTATCCTTCCGATACCGATACTATAGACATAGATGAGTTTATAAGATCTTCAATACTAACAACTAACTAAAACTGCAAGGAAAAACACCGTTTCCAGTTAAGTTCTGTGCAATGCTCGTACCTGAGATGTTTTTCAGGTCTGGTCCAATGTCCCCATCACATCTGCACATTATATATAATAGTACAGCTTGACAATTTCCTTCCCTCTTTCATTGCTCATGGCATCACCAATATATCTTTGTTCAAGTCTGTGTAGGAGATTGATCCTGATACCTCTCATAACTGCTGCATTTATTTAACTTTTCAAAGAGAGATTAATATGCCTCTACTCGCCAAAGGGTTATTACACCATGTGTCCATGTGTGATGTTAATATTTGGCTCCTACTTCTGTGCCTGATGCTTTTTTCCCCATTGTTTTTCAACTGTAGGAGTATTCCTATGGAGACAATCTCATGCTGTCCCATCTGCAATATACAAGTTCTCACGGTTGAGCTGGAATGGTAATGGTGGATTCTTCTCCATGCTTCTGCAATTGAGCGTGTCCTCTCTTCTTTTTTTTTTCCCCTGGCATTATACACAACATACCACTATCTTTTGTAGGCATGCCAATAGCCACTTTGATGATGATCAACTCCAAAGGGACATGGAATTAGCACATCAGATGGCAATTGCTGAATCAAGTACAAATACCATGGTAATAATCTTGCTTTGGCATCTTTTTCTCACATTGTTTTAATAATAGTAGCTGTAGATCATGGTTCATTTCAATAATTGAAAGGTTTTCTCTGCATAGCACTTGCTGAATCTAGTACAGATACCATGGAAATATTCTGCTCACAAGTTTCTCTCTTTCATAAGAATAAAATAGGCATGGATCATTATTCATTTCTGTAGTACAATTTCAGTGTGTGTGTGTGTGGTGGTGGTGGTGGGGGCGCCTTACAGTGTTTACATGCATTGTTTGAAATTGTTGCTGTTAAAACCTTCATCAGAGATATGCTTAGACTTGAGCAGAAAGTGAAATATTGTTCTAGTTGTCCTGGTTTGTGATCCACTAGTCCATAAACGCCTTGTACTTGATGTTTTGCATTCCTTGTTTTGGCAGAGTTATAATTCAGCTGATCTTTTTTTTTCCAGAATGACCCAAAACGTTATAGTGGATCACTCACTAGTGACTCTAATACTCTAGGGGCCACATCGAGTCATAGTGGATACTCACGCCATCACAGTGAGCTATTGGAGGAACAAATCTCTTGCTTGGTCAGAGCACAAATTCAAAGCGAAGTTCAAGAAGTCGAAGGCGGTATTATGAGCTTGTTGAGGAGCTGCTTGGAGTCAGAAGATGGTCCCTCGACAAGTATGATATCATGCTATATTGACCATCATCAGAGTCTTTCATCAGAAGATATGGGGTGGGGATGTGGATGGAGAAATATTCAGATGCTGAGCTCTCATCTATTGAAGCAAAGGCCAGAAGCTAGAGAAGTATTATTTGGTGGTTCTGGATTTGTTCCTGACATCCCTTCACTCCAGAGGTGGCTTGAGATTGCTTGGGACAAAAATTTTGATACGATTGGCTCCAGCCACTTTCATAATGAAGTTTATGGTGCCAAGAAGTGGATAGGGGCTGCAGAATGTGCTACCCTCTTCCGCTCGTTTGGCCTCCGTGCAAGGATTGTAGATTTTGATAGCACAGAATCATCTGACCTCCAAAGTAAGAATGGAAGCCGTGCAGCGAGTCAAGTACGAGGGCCTATGGACAAGTTCTTAATAAAGAATAACTCTCCAAAATCATCGTCTGAACTTTGTCGAGAGGATGCTGAAAGTATGAGAGGCCAACAGGCCCTTGTTGACTGGGTTTGGAACTACTTTGCCAGTGGGCGCTCTGATAGATTAGCCACACAGCGTGTCACTGTCAGCAATAAAACGTAAGATCTTCTATGTCTTCCTTTTGAGAAATGTTCTATCCCATAATCTGAAATGCTTACAGTATCTAGAAAGAACTTTGTTATAGACTAACTAAAGAGGTGCCATTCACAGCCCACTGTATTTTCAACATCAAGGTCATTCAAGGACAATAGTTGGGATTCAAAAGAAAATGGGTCATCGTGGATTTCAAGAACAATACACCCTTTTGATTTTAGATCCTGGCCATGTAAGTTACAGTTATCATTCATTTATTGGTCTAAACTATTTTCCCTTTATTGTCAGTTACTCCTAGTTGTGATTTAGTCTCACATTCTATTTGAAGCTCAGCTTATGGTGTAAGTTGGTTGGTTTCAAAGCTCAGCGAGTATTGTGCTATTTGATTTTTTGTTCTTCATGCTTTTTGCTGAACAATCACTTTGAGGACCACCAACATAAACTGAACATCTGGTGTCTAACTCGGCGTGCATGTATGTTTAACCCTATAGAAAATCTTGAGGCCCTCTTGCTTCTCATGTGAATGGACTCTTGTGGTATTGATTGAGAAAGCAGCAGCTTAGATGCCAAAAGCACCTGTCCACATTCGTTATAACAAGTCATTGTTTTGATGTGTTGCAACATATTGTGGATTATATTTTCTTTGCTTCGGTTCCTTATTTTGTATGCATACCCCATTTTGAAACTTCTAGAATAGACTTTGAATTGCTGTTTCTCTGTCAGTACGCCATTCAAATGTTTTCCCTTAATGCCACAGAGAACTGCAGATCTTGAAAGGTCTCTAAGAAGCAAAAAAGGATGGCAGCGTCTGGTGAAGAGAGGTGTCCACACGCTCAGGAAGCCACAGTATCAGGTACATCAAATGGCCCAAAGTACATGAAATTAAGAAGGCTCAGATGAATTTGTACATCTATATAATACATTATCTGGTGTACATGTCATGTCATCAGTTGTGTTATGTGGATCCTGGAATTGCTAATTCAGAAGAGATGGAGCAACTGAAGATTATTGCTGGTATACTAGTCAGGTTTTAGGTTCCTGGTAAGTATGAAAACTAACCCTGTCTTTCTTTGTTTATATATGTTAACAGTATAGACACACTGGGTAATTTAGATCGCTACTCATCTTGTTATCCATTGTTCAGATATACAACAAAAACAAAATGAACAATTCAATTATGAGAAATTGTGGCTAACTAATTATTGGTTTTCATACCACTGTTTTATTGATGCCTTTGTCAGTTACTTTGACCTAGCTCAATGCTGTATTTGTGCTGTATTACCTTGATGTTCTGAAGCATGTTTCTCCGTATTTCTTATTCGTTCAACAGCAAACAGGATGAGGATTATATGTGTTTTGCACACAGAGCACTCTTCATTGGTTGAAGAAGCAAGAACATCTAATACATTGTCAAACTGTGTGTTGTAAGAATGGTACCGCAAGGATGGCCTTGCAGAAAGTATGATATATTTTTTCCCCTGTGTCCGTATGTTTCGAAGAAATACATGAAAATTCTTTAAGTCTTGTCGACTTTTGTTCAGCGTCTTGAATATTTCACAGTTGACAGTACCCTCTCTCATGCCTTTTTTTTTTATCAGAAAATTGAATGTAGTTCAAGACATAAATGGCAATCTAATATTCAGTGTGGTCCTAACAAGACATGCTTGACTCATGCGAAATGCTAAGCCAAGCTTGCTGCTTAACTATTGTTTGCAGAATCTTTGACACGGCCTGACTGATTCTTATTGCAGACAATCTGCTATTGTTTGGACGACCTTTGAAGAACCCTGACTGCTTTCATACTGAACCTGCCAGTTGATGGTGGTTGCATCTGAATCTGTGGTGTAGGTAAACGAAACATAACTTGATGTTGCTATCTTATGGGGCCAAGTTACTAGAGCCCGGTACAGTCACTTGTGTTCAAGCGGAGAATCAAGTATTTGTGCATATAACATCCTGCGCCTAATCTTTTGTTATGCATCTGATGCCGCGCACTCAGCTCAGTTGACTAGAATATTGACTCAAGGATTATATTCTGCATGGAGTTGGAATCTGGAAATGGTTGAAGCTGCTTTCAGTTACAGCAGGATCGGGTTCCTAAAACAAGCAGATTTCTGTGAAAGTGGTCAGTTCATCGGACATCATATGATAGATTAACAGCGAATTTTGTAGGTGCCGTGCTCCCCTGTAATCATACCTCAAAAACTAAAGGGCAAAGGAGTCATGGTGGCGCTAAACTATGCTGATCCTTACCTGTTTATGATCTAGAAGCAGAGCGTCTTCAACCCACTGTCACATGGTGAAAACGTTGTCGGTCAATATAATTCAGCTGTAGCACTTGTTTTTCAACTTTCTCAATAGGTAGACACACGATGCATACCTTCATCTTCTTTGACAGTCATCCCAGTACTTGACATACTCCTCATCAGTTTCATAGCAGCTAAAAGTTAAGCGGTACTTTTCCCAATCAGGATACTCATCAAAATCATGCCATATCCAAATGAGAGAAGCAATATGCGTGACTTAAAGGAACAATACTAGATCCTTCCATTTGATTAAGTACTAACACAATACAAACATGGAAAGAAAATGAGCATTCAACATTTTGATGTAACTCAATATATACTTTGACTCACATATATACTGCTCAAATGAAAATCCATGTGATCACATTTTCAGAAACATACATACATATATATTTGCTTACTACAATTGAGAGGAAAAATTCAAGAACAATAAGGACAAAATAAAAGCTTACCCGGGCTTTTGACAAAACAAAATAGACTTCAAATACAATAACAGATTCAATAGCATGGACTTAAGGATTACAGATGTGCCACCTCTCTAGAGTGTGTTGCCATGTTTGCAAGCGCTATCCTATCCTATTTTTCGATATAAACTAGTACGAAAGCATTATACAATATACACGCTGCCATGGCACCGGTATTTAAGGTTAGTAAAAACTTCAGATGCAAATTCGAACATAAGTGGAATTGACTAGTATGAACAGTTAGCACAACAAATTACAATTAGCATTTTCGAATGCCACACGAAGGACAATGTTTGGCAAATAACTAGCATTGTTGAATATCACACAAGTGACTTGGACGACATGGGGACGTGAAAGATAGTGCCAACCACCAAAACATTTGACTCAACAAAAGGAAGATTTTTTTAAAGCCCTTCGAAAGGTAATGTTCTATGTACTTAGTAACTTCCTGTTTATGTTACTAATCTGGTATTATCCTTGTAATAAGGGCACGCAGAATTGAAGGAGAAATGAAAACAATATATTCAAAGCATGAGTAAAGCCGCTAAAAGTGTATTCCAACAAATTGATTTCAGAGCTTGGCTGCTTAATGGCATTATGTGTTCAGATTTTTTTTTCCAGCTAGCCAGTGCTAATCCAAAAGAGTTGTAAACTAGTAAAAAATTTATATGCGGAGAACAAGGATTTAGAATGTTGTTGTCCAAGGAAAATAAAGTAACTAATGAAGAGGTAGCATTTCAGAAACAAACTTAGGCCCTGTTTGGTTGGGCTTTTGGTTTTGGCTTTTACAGGCTGGCCAAAAAAATCATGGAGGCTATTAAAAGAAAGTCCAACCAAAGTAGCTCTTTATAAATGTCTTTGAAAGAAAACAAGTTCATTTTCATAGTTTTAGAAGCTGGGTTGACCCAGGCTTTTGGCTTTTTGCAGCTTTTGCTTTTTGAAATTGGTGGAATAAAAGCTCTTCCATAGTTGTTTCAAAGAGATAAAGATAAAAGGTATATTTTATACTTGTTTAACCAAACAGTTTTACTTTGACTTGCACTCTGCACTGACAGGCCTTTTCACCTTTTCCAAATCTTCAAATTTCATGAGCTTTTTTCCACACCAGTACAGCACTCAACCAAACAGGGCCTTAGCAAAAATTTCCCTAGTTGAATAAAGACCAGGAAGCTGGTTGAGCTAAAAAAAAGAGACCAGGAAGCTGGTCACAGGAATGGCCAACTGACGTGCAATCATGGAGGCTATTGCAAGTGATAGAATGTCATGCACTCGTGCAAAAGATCAGAGTAGCTCTTATAAATGATCGTGAGGCAACAACAACAAGAATTCATTTTGGATGCAGTTTAAATACCGATGACAAAACGGAGGTGATATCAAGTACTCACAGCTCTTGTAGGGACTATGCGCTGGTAGTCATCCAGCTCGGCGAGATCAAAATACTGGCGATCGTAGGTCCAACCGAAGATGCTAGGACATAGCTCAAAGGGGTTATCCCAATCAAAAACCTCATCAGGGTACTCGCTGGCACTGCAGCAGTGGTGTCATCCCAGTTGAGACTACCCTCCTCCAACATCTGCACACAGATCGAACAAGGACTGATTTGAGGGCATCTATTGATTGTAAATAAGTGGAATTGAAATGAAGTGCAATACATGTAGTGTATATATTAAGCGGAGTACATATAATCATCAAATGTATAGACAACAGTTAGATTATATGATGTGATGATATAGAGCAAGCTTGCCTTGTACTCTCTGAAGCGAAGGCCACAGAGGCGTTGATACACCTCTTCCCTGTCTTTGCCCTTTAGCCAGGGTGCAATCTGAACGTAGATGGGACGCTCGCGCGACAAGAGCTCCTGACAGCAACAGAGAGAGAGCTCCTGCTCATTGATGTTGTCGTCGGTCGAGAAGACGAACTCCTCCTCCCGTTCTTGCCCCCCTTGCTCCTCCTGGACCTGGGGTCGGGTATCACTATCATCGTCCATCAGCATCGCATCCGTTGTGTCATCGGAGGATGAGCCAAGACCGAGAGGACGAGGAGATGGGCTGCCGATGATCCTGCGCCTCTTGTCCCCCGTCCACATCGCTGAGTTGCTTCGTCTCTCGTGGTCGACGACGGCGCCGCTGGGCGCCGCAACAGATCGGACAACGGGGGGATCTAAAACAACCGACGACAAAACCCTAATCTCAATCTCGAAGAACCGACGATGAAACCCTAATCTCCAACCACCAGCAATGATATATGAGAGGGAATACCTCACCTTTCTTCACGATTCGGATGGGTGGATTTGTTTGGTGTGGAACTGAAATTGGTGGTCAGGTGGATTGATCTGGGCTCAAGCCACGTCGGTCGATGACACCAAACAATCGCATGCGAGGTGGTTTCGTCTGTTCGCTTGGCTATTCAGCCGGCTTTAATCCGTACAAATTAGCCATGAAACAGTATTCCTCTCTCACAACAAACCAGCCATACAAATCAGCAGAAGCTAGCCGATTTAATACCAGCCGAATAGAGTTGTTTCCCTCGTTCAAGGATCTCTACAAGGATGACTTAAAAGTAACGGAGACATGCCGCCACTTTTTCGTGCAATGATTATGTGAGTTACTCCCTTTGTGTTCTCCTTTTCTATTTATGTTTAGTCATATGCACATGTCAGAATCATCCTGAATCTTGCTGCCCCCCTCCCTCACCTATCGCCAACACCACAACCAACATGCTTTCAATGTTTGAAATCTTGGGGGTGATAGCCTGATAGGTGCCATCACATATGTTACATAGAGAAATGTTATTGTTGACACATTTTGAGTTTGGGGAGATTGATTTGTCATTTGTCCCCTATTGGTATATGTTTATGGATTTTTTTTTACTTAGGTCTGCATTTGCAGCGATATCTAGAGCTTGGTTTACAATATGTCCCAAAAGCTATGGAAATCAAACTAGAGGATTTCTTTGTCAAGATCCTGCATGAGGGTGCCCCTAGGATTCAAATGCTGCTTACCCAATGTACGTGTTTACAAACCCATATCATCTACGCTTTTTATTTAGTTATAACCCATATCATGCACAGTTGTTGTTTCAGTTTGCCCTGGCTAATAATTGTGTGGAACTAATGCACTTAGGGTGTTTAACAAAGGTTGTTCTACTGAAACAGAAGAATGGGACCGAATTTGAGTTGATATTGATTCACTCATAGATCGGTGCTGCTAGGTCTGCGGCATTGAACTATCAGAAATTTCAAAGAGGTTCTGTAAACATGACCGCAAATGCAAACACATTAAGAGTGTCAAGAATTATACAGATAACTGGAGCTTTGATGAAAAAACATGTTATATTTACCACCTCGTATAGGGACGCGTCGTTTGCTAGGCATGTCACGCGATCTAAAATCAATGAGGACTCTGGCCTCCAATGGACGAAGGGGATGATGGATGTGTTTTGCATGTCATTGAAATGATTCTTGGCCTTAAGTGCAATAACAATTAGGAGAATACCTCGCGTGTTGCTACGGGGATTCTAGATAATTTAAAAAGAAATTAGACTATTTATATTTATAGTTATATGAATGAAACTATCTTAAATTAATTTTGGTGAATTGTTTGACACATCGATGTGGACAACTAAATGTATGTTAGTGGATGAAGAGATAACTATCATAATTACATATGCTAGTTGGCTATAATTGCAAGTTCTAGTAGATTATTGATGTAGATAGCTTGTATGTTGAGAGAAATCTCTAGTAGGATTTAGCTTTAAGATGGTATTGCAAATACAACACAAAAGAAGCGTATAATTATGTGCAAGTCTTTAGAAATCATCACAAATACTTTGATGATCTTTTGGTTACATAAAGGTGTTGTTCTGGTCCCTGTACATTATGTTCCTATATTCCAACTGAAATGGTCCCTAACTACCTCATCAAGTCAATTTGTCTCCTTAGTGCCTAAAACTGGTGGTAAATGTAGCTAATTTGGTATGTTTTTGAAATCATATATGGGCAAACAAAAAGAAACGTTTTTCACAACTTAAAATGATACGTAAAAAGGTTTTGTATTCCTTTATTCAGTGGCAAAATTTTACATCTTTCTGGGTGCATGGAATGTTGGGTAGCACCCGCAAGGCCTAGATGCTTAAACTATGGATAATTGTCCTGTTCGCTTGGCTAATAAGCCATGGCTGAAAGTACTGTTGGCTGATTTGTTATGAGAGAAAAATATTGTTCGTTGGCTGAAAAGGTACGGCTTATAAGCCAAGCGAACAGGACGAATGTTGTATGAAGCAGTTGGTATGCCATTATTTTCAATTGAACCAAAATTTGTGATCAAATTGTTTATTGGTTGGCTGCAGTGGACCTAAATGCCATTTGCTGTGAGTGAATGGAGTGTGGTAAATGGATCCTATAAATAAATGTACTAATTTGTCACATAAAAAGACCTTTTTGTAGGGTCGGCTAGTCGCCAATTGGATGGATAGACAACCATGAGAGACCTTTGAGTTGAAAAATAAGGGAGCTACTTATCTCTGAGGGTTTTTTGGGATTTCCATGTGTACACTAAACTGGAAGATAAAATTTTGTAGGATTGATAACTCCATTAGTGGACAAGTATATATATAGACTCTCTCATTATGGGCCATATGGGCCTACAGTAGATGGGTCTCAACACCTCCTTCAAACTCAAGGTGGAAGCGGTGGATCTAAAGCATTGAGTTTGAGCAAGCGTAGTCGATGCTGCTCTTGAGTTTGTGCCTTAATGAAGAAGTCAGCTAATTGCAGCTCTGAGGGCACATACTGGAGTTCGATGGTGTGTTGATGACATGAGACAAAGTAAAGAAGGCATCGACACCAATATGCTTTGTAAGCTCGTGCTTCACAGGATCGTTGGCAATATGAATGGCTCCAGTGTTATCACACAGAAGATGTGTGGTGGCATCGCAAAAAATTCCAAAATCAACCAACAACCATCGAAGCCATACAAAACTCTATAGTAGTAGTGGCAAGTGCTCGAAGTTCGGCCTCTGTACTGGAACTAGATACAACAGTCTGTTTCTTGGACTTCTAGGCAATAGGAGAAGAGCCAATAGCCTGTTTTTTTTTTGGACTTCCATGCAATAGGAGAAGAGCTAAGAAGAATACAGTACCCGGTTATGAAACGACGATCTGTTGGTCACTTGCCCAAGTGGAGTCCGAGTAAGCATGAAGCAAAAGTGGACTATCACGAGCATAGAATAAATAGCGAGATGATGTCCCCCGTAAGTATCATAGCACACGAAGTAAGTGACCAATGAAGCGAAGTAGGGGCACACACAAACTGATCAAAATATGGACGGCATGCGCAATATCAGGTTTGATAATAGTGAGATAAACAAGACTACCAATAATATGCCGATATCTGGAGGGATCCTCAAGTGGATGGTGTACCATCTGTAGGACGAAGTTGCAAGTGAAGATCCATAGGTGTTGCAGCCGTTCGATTATCAATGATGCCTGAACGAGCAATAAGATCTTGTATGTACTTAGACTGAGAAAGATAATATTCCTTGGTATATTGTTTGACCTCTATGCCTAAGAAATAACTGAGAGGACCCAAATCGCTTCAATTGGATTTGACGAAACTCAAACATAAGAAGCCATGAAGGTGGGTTTGGGGGTGGCTATCTGTCGTGTCATGTGTCACACATGAAAATGTTAGTGTTTGAATGGTACGTGCGGCTGTTGCTTGTAATCACACTCTCTTGCTTGTTGGGTGTTGAGCCATCCAAGAATTATAGAGGATGTTTGAGACTGCTCCACAAACTCTGTTTCATAAACTTCGTCGTGGAGCAGTTTTAAAAAAACTAGAGTTTATGGAGCATCTCTTTAGGTGCTCTCATAATTTCACCGTTTGGAAAAAAAACTTAAAGCACAACTAAAAACGTAGAGCAGAGCTGTGCAAACACCCCGTGGTTTCACGTCGGAGCACAAACTCTGTCATCTACCTTGGTCGGGTTTTTTTTTTTTTTCCGCCCAAGGAATACGATTACTCCATATTATAGATTAAAGTGATCCCGCAAGTTTTGACCGGTCAACAGCGTGATAAGACAAATACTAGTAAAGCAATGGCTGTCAACTAATTTGTCGTTGGCCCTGTTCGTGTGCCCTTAAATTCGGTTTGATCCGTTTCTTTTTTCATCCCGAACAATCTTTTTCTCTTACAAATTTCTTCAGATTTATCTAAATTTCTCCAAATTTCTCCAAGCGAACGAGACCATTATTCTATAGAAAGGATTTTGTCAATATTTATTGTTGAGCACGGCATGCGAATTGATTTTGTTTTGTAGCACGGCTCTCTAGACCAGGTGCTGCTACGGTTGCAAGGGTCCACAGAAATCAAATTGCAGATATTCATGTTTAATGGCATGTATACGTATATTTATATATATATATACTTTCCTGATTTGACCCATAATAATAATAAGAAAATGAAAAAAAGCAAAGAAAAGAAGAGAGAGTCACCCTATTTGCTTTTGCTTTGGTGTGGGCCCACCCACAAGTGGTAGAACAAAAGTGAGGGTGACATGCAAGGCTGTCTCTAACAGGAGATTCATTGTGGAAATTAAATTTAAAATAGGTCTCCAACAGAATATATATAGCTTCTAACGGAGTACATATATAGAAAATTTATTTTATGTGTCAAAAGAGATGTAACCTAAATACTCAATATGAGTATCATCTGTTCTGGAGATTTATAGAAAGAATTATCTTTTAGCCTTTTGTTCGAGAATATTCCTATTATATTTTGGGTACGGTCGTCGGAGACCGTCGCACACGCAGCCGCACGAACACGCGCGCACGTTCTCCGTTCTCCCACACAACACAAAAGCAGCAGAGGAAGGGTTCCATCCAAAACCGAAATCCAAATCCAAATTCCAATCCAACCGTCGCTCGCTCGAATCGTCCTCTGCCCGCACGCCTCGCAGCGCAGCGCAGCGCAGGGCCGGGCCCCACCGCTCCACCGCCCCGCGCCAGTCAATGTCAGGCGACGGCGACGCGCGCGGCCTCGAAGCGGCGGCGGCCGCCGCGGCCGAGGCAGCGCGGGAGCTGCGGGAGGCGGCCGCGGCCCTCGTCGCCACCCGCGCCGCCGAGGAGGACGCGCTGCGCCGCCGCGCCGTGGCGCTCGACGCCGACGTCCGCCGCCTCCAGGGCGAGCTCCACGGCCTCGATCCCTCCACGCTCGACAAGGTCCTCCTCGCCTCGCCTCGCCTTCTCTTCCTCCACCTCTCCTCCTGCCAGGCTCTGCCTCCTTCAGGTGTGATGAAAGCGCGATTCCTCCTCCCGTATCTCGGATCGCGATTCGCTTGTGGACCCGGATTGATGCCTACTTTAAGGATGCCCCTGCGGCGGGGATTTCATCAAAACTTGCGCCGCGATCCCATCCTTTGCTCCCCATCTCACCGTCTCATGCATGGGGCGTGGCATGGAGATGCCCGACTGCTGGATTAATTAGATTGCCTTGTTTTGTCCGCATTTTTTATGATTGCTCGACCTGGAATGGTTACGCCCCCACTACTGTGCCGGATGTTCCAGGATAAGGTTCCATCCAATTCTTCCAGCTTGTCGTCTGTCTGTGTCTCACAAGCTGTGAGAAAATCTGTTAATAACACTACTTGTATAGATGCCAGACTGAAATCCGAATTCAACCTAATTAATCAAATGGTTGTGCACACGCTGGCTTTGGTTCTTCGTTCGTTTTGTTTTGGAAGTTTACATGGCTTTGGATCATGCAAGTTGTTACATGTAGTGCAGCGTGGTAGCCTGGTAAGGACAGTTAGATTATATGAACGCATTGCCCTAAGGACGTTAATGTGTGCTACTGAAACGTCACATCCTGTAAAACTCTAAGCATCTTCTTATGGATTAGCACCCTGCAGATCCTTGCAAGCACAGTAGGTTTAAAATGACCTAAAGGGGCCATCTGCTCTTGTTCAAAATGTGACTTTTCAGATTTATACTTGATGCAGGTCGAGGAGGAACTGGAGCGTGCCAGGGTGGCAATCACAGATAGTGATGTGGCTTCGTTTCTTCCCAGCAAGAGAAATGGTTAGATATGTTTTCTTTCATATATATACCCTACCCCGTTTTGTTCTGGGTTCAAGTTCATTTGTTATCGATGGATCATGATTTGTTAATTTTGATGTACTATCGTCTGAACATGCAGGGAAGTTTCTTAAGACGTTTCTAGGCCCTGTGAATGTGCGGGTGGCGAGGAAGGAAGATAAGCTCAAAATCAAGGATGAGTATAACAATTATAGGGTATGCTTAAGATACTTCTTCAATGTCGTTTGGAAAGACTTTTTTGTTGGGGGGTTTTCAGATATGATGTCAAGAACTGAAATAGCAGTATATAGCCAGCTTAAACTTTTCACCTTTTATATAACTTATTGGTTCCAATGATTGCTTCAATTGGCATAAATTTTGATTTCTGTAAGCATTATGATGAAACTTGCATAATATATGTCACCTTTAATCTGCCACTGTGTACAAAAATTTAGGAGAAACTGAAATCATCAGAGTAAAACATGACTAATTCAGTAAGTTCTTCTACTGAAACATCTAGCCTGTTTTGTGTGATGCAGTTATATTTTATAAACCTCTAGCTAGTACAGAAACACATAATACTAGGCTGTATGCTGATAAATGCATTGTAATGTTGTGTAAAAAACATACTTTGGGGTTTTGAATCCAAGTAATCTTTAGATCTTTGGGCTGAACTGATATTTCATCTTGTAAACTACAAGGACGCCTCACACCAACGGTGTTGATGTTTTAACCTGTTCTATTGGCAGGATAGGACTGCCTATAAGTTTCTGTTGTTTCCATCTATCCTCCTCCTACTGAGATGGTGGATATGGGATGGATGCCTTCCGGCATTGGCTGTTCAAATTTATCAGGTGTTTTGTTCGATACTGTGATACTCCTTGAATATTTTCGCTGTGCTGATCACTGCATTGTCCAACAAGAGCTATCTAAATAATGTCTTGCTGCTTCTCAGGCTTGGTTACTGTACCTGTACACAAGCTTTGCTTTGCGTGAGAATGTATTAATTGCGAATGGAAGTGACATTCGTCCATGGTAAGGGATCATCACTCCCAAAGTTTCACTGCTTAAGATATTTAATTTTTTAACTGCAGCATTTAAGGTTAGTTGCAAATGTCCATTTATAAAAACATAGCTGGTTAAATGTTTCTCAATTTAAATAATTTGTTGACCGTGTTTAGTTTATTCTCTGGTTAAATTTCTTTTCCAATGCATGCTTTCTCTATCATGATTCGCTGCTCGTTTTCAGGTGGATATATCACCACTATCTAGCAATGCTGATGGCTCTTATTAGCCTTACATGGGAGATAAAGGGACAACCTGATTGTTGTAGCAAGCAGGTATATGCTCTCTCTTTTTTTCTGGGAAGAAGCACTGATGCAGGCATCGCTTGGGAAATTTCCTAATGTTGCACTCAAACAATAATCTTTTTGCAGAGGGGGGTGCAACTTTTCTTGCGTTGGGCAATCATGCAAGGCATTGCTATGCATCTACAGAATAGATACCAGCGCCAAAGATTGCGTACTCGAATAGCTCTAGGAAAGGTAAGGTCTTGTTTGAATTTAAGAAACTAACCTCTGTGGCATTGGAAACTTATAATTTCTATACATAGAATAAGCGTATCTCACATAAGTATTCCAAACATGATCCTAACTAGAATTACAAAAAGGTCCTTGTATATGATGAAACATTTTTCAAACCACGGAACATTCTCAATTTCCATTAGCGTCATAGTGGAAATTTGTATATGATGAAACTAGATGCATGGAGATCTTCACTAGGTGCTTACAAAGAACTCAAGATAATCAATGTTTCTCTGATTTAGTACTCTCAAAAAGAAACAGTCAGTGAATTTATCTAAAAGAAATCTTGTGGGCAGAGCTTATTGGTAGAATGTGAACCTGTGAATCAGTATTGTGTCACATCATTATCTAATACTTTCTAAGGTTAACCTAACTTCTCTCCCAATTAACTCCTTGCAGGCTAAAAGAATGGATGTCGTCGCTGGAGAAACAGCTGGTGTGGAGGGGCAGCTGTTGCTGCTATATCCTGTGCTTTTCATATTACAGGTATGTTGTCTGCACAATTCGAATTATGGCAGGTCCTGGTTTTTCTCTTGAACTGAGTTGCCACTCATCTTGAACCCTCCAGAATAAGTTGTTGGTGCTTCATGCATAAATCCTTCCTGTCTAATTGGACTAATATCATTTGTTTGCTGCACTGACGCACCTGGTCCTGATGCTCCATGTTTTCAGGGTTTTGAAGCATATGTTGGAGTTTTGCTTCTTCAGACAGCTTATGGGCTTGCCTCCGAATGGCAGGCAAGAATGATTTTAACAGTTTCACTATTTACAGTTGAATGTCAGATAGGATTAAATTGTCTAGGCCCTTGATTGAATTTATTGCTGTCTGGAATTTATTGCCTTTCCCAATATTTGAAATTCTGGGTGGTGGAGGGATATAGGTCAAACTGTCTTGAATAGATCTTGACATGCCACTTGGCACTTGTTCTGAACTGAAATTTACACCTCATTTTCGTTTTTTACCAGGTTGTAGTCTGCGGGATCTTGCTGGTGGTTATGGCAGTCGGCAACTTTGTCAACACTATGGAGACACTGCTACTGAAACTGAGGTTCAAAGCAAAGATGAAGAGAGCAAAGAACAGACAGGATCGCCCACATCAAAATTGACAGGCATCGTCGTTCCTGGAACCATCGGTTTGTAAATCTTTGACCTGTATTAAAGGATTTTCAATGTTCCTGGAACCATCGGTTTGTAAATCCTTTGACATTGAAAATTGACAGAGCAAAGCTGACACCATCGGTTTATATTTTATAAACCTCTAGCTAGTACAGAAACACATAATACTAGGCTGTATGCTGATAAATGCATTGTAAGTAAAAAAACACAAGTAATACTAGATCTGTATTTGATCTTGATAAATCCCCTTTGACCTGTATTAACATTTTTGCCTGCTTGTAATTCTCTGTTTTGGTAATCGGCCCTGTAACATTGAAGTTGACATTCCACGCAACACGACGGATGAAACAATATTTCCCCTTGCTCAGATGAAAACTGTGAGTTTGCGCTGTATTATGCTTCTTCTGTTTAATTTCTTTGGGGTCCTGAAATAGGATAATGTGTCTAAAGTTGTGAATAGACAGGGGGGGCTCCATATAAATGGAGGCTTGTAAGGTTTGATGTTGTCATGTGCTACTACGTACTTGTTATACAGAGATTGGTGTGAATGATTAGCATCATTTCAGTCTTGTGCTGCGACTACTGGTGCAGACTGCAGAGTAGTACTGCTGACAGTCGCATCAAGTGGCAAGCAATTTTTGGTGCAGAAACTAGTTGAACATCAGGGCCCGTTCGTCCGGCAGAATTTTGCACTCAAACAATAATTTTGGTGAAAAATCTGTTCGATTGAATTCTTGATGATGCAGAGAAAATCTTGGCATTGGAATGACAGAATAAGCGTATTCACATAAGTATTGTTCCTTGTGAAAAAAAAAGTTTTAACAAACCGAATATGGGGTAAGTAAGTATTCCAAAACGGCCCCTCCAAACATGTGCTTACCATGACTGATCTCAAGACATTCGCTTATTGGTTGAAACTAGATGCAGCGCTTATTAGTCAAGATAATCGATAGTGTTTTTTCTCATAATTTATCTTAAAAGAAATCTTGTAGAAATGTGTCACCAGGCCGATTAACAGTATCCCATGAGCATGTACCCTGTGCTAACGATCAATCCTTGTTCCAGTTGCATCTTGCGAGTAGGAGTATTTTGCAAGCTTTTGTTTTGGATGGTGTGGTCCAGGAAACTCCCTCGCCATCTGACAGCACGCACTAAATTACCAAAAACATCCGCAGGAGTCGCAGGACCAGTGTTGGAGAATCCATTCGGGCTAACACACGGAACAAATCGTCATATATATGCTGCAAATATTATGAGCTGGCTGGTCCTCCAAAAAAACTGCCGCTGCCTTCGACCACGCCACGTTTAGTTGGTCCCCAATTCCGCGCCGCCGGATTTCATGGAGGTACTGTAGCTTTTCGTTTTTATTAGTAATAATTATCCAAACATTGACTAATGAAGAGAGCAAAAACAGACGTTCGCCCGTCAGAATGATGTTTGTAATTAGTTTTGATTGTCAATATTTAATGACTCCATCGGCATGCCGCAAATTTAATGTTTGAAATCTTTTCTTTTTAAATAGTGCCAAAGTTTGGATTTTTGGTGAACTAAACAGGCCCCTAAATGATGATGATTGATGAGCATGCTCCCTTGCCTCTGCATGCACATCATCACTCAATCATTGAGGTAGCTAGCATCCTAGGTTCCTAGTGAGTTTGCCCTCGTTTAGTTTAGTTCGCGAAATTTGGATTTTGTGGCATTTCTTTGTGCAGACCTTCATTTTTATTTTGGTAAATAGTGTTTCGGACTAATTAAGCTCAAACGTTCGTTTGGATGGTGCATGCAATTTCCACCACTAAATGTGCAATTCTTTTTTTCGAATCCATATTTAACATATTTGCTGCAAAATGAGCTGGTCCTCCATTTAACATGCTGCATGAGTCGCAAAACATTCGATGTGGATACCACAACCTGTGATGATGTGAACTTTTTTTGCAAAATTGGGGTGGAACTAAAAAAGTGCTTTGTAGACAAAGATCATCTTGTCTGTTTGGTGCTGCCGCGGTGGACGGAGCTGCTGGGCCAAGCAAAACTTTAGAACCCCCCCGCCCCGTTCCGTTTGGGACAGCTATTCACGCCTCCCCGGTCCCGACGGACTTTTCTCTTGAGAGAAGCCAGTGGAGAGACGATGAAGCCATGTGTACCCTTCCAAACGGGTTCTTACTGTACTTTTATGGAGGAAAGAAAATGCACGGTAAATACATCCATATTTACATTTCACTCGGATCAATCTCAAGTCCTCTTCCCCACTCCAATGCAGAATCCATTTCCTTACGATCCTACCCTAATAAATAAACATCAAGGACAACGAAAGGAAGAATTTACTTTTGCTACAAGAAGAACACACACATCGAAGCTAAGACGTCTTAACTGCTCTAAACACAATCAAAATCATGTGAGCTCCAGCAGCTTGCTGAGCTGGATATGGTGGCCGTAGCCCGCCTTGGCGATGGACCTGGCCGCCTTCTCCGCGATGGCGGCGCGCACCTGCGCCATGGACGGCCGGAGCCCGGGCTGCGCCGCGACGCACTCCACGGCGAGCCTGGCCACGTCGTCGGCCTCCTCCTCGTCGTACCCCCCGTCCCCGATGAGCCTGCCGTCCACGAGCCCCGCCACCCCGCGCGCCCGGACGCGGGGCAGGATCCGCGCCGTCAGGTTCTCACCGGAGCCGGACGCATCGCCGGCGGCCGGCAGGCCCGTCACGGCCTCGAGCAGCAGCACGCCGAAGCCGTACACGTCGGACTTGCTGGACACGATGCCCGTGCGGAGGAAGAAAGGGTCGGCGTAGCCCGGCGACCCCACGGCCACGGCGGCGCGCGCCGGCGCCACCGCCGCCGAGAAGCCCTCGCAGGCGGAGCCCAGGTCGCAGAGCCGCGCGCCGGCGCCGGCGCCGTCGAGAAGCACGTTGGACGCCGACACGTCGCCGTGTACCACGGCAGTGGAGGTGCCGCCGCCGCCGCCGTCGTGCAGGTGCTCCAGCGCGCACGCCACGTCGTGGAGGATGCGCATGCGCTGCGGCCACGACAGTAGCGGGGCGCTGCCTGCCGTTGCGCCGTGGAGCGCGTCCGCTAGCGTGCCGCCGGCGAGGTACTCCAGCACCAGCGCGCCCTCTTCCTCTACAGTAACAGTCATTAGTTTACCACTCCATGTCTCCATCTCCATGGGTGATTACATTACATGTTTTCACCGCGGAGTGAAAGTGAAGTGAATTGAAAAAAAAAACAGGCGACAGCGACGACCAAACTGAAGAAGTGCAGTGCAGTGCAGGTTTGACGAGAGGAGGTGGGGAGTCGCCGTACAGAAATGAATGAATACGCGCCATAGCGGTGTAGCCGTTGCTCTCGACTCTCGTTAGGCGTTAGGTAGGTAGGGAGTAAAGTGATGTCACGCGCGCGCTGCATAATTCACTACTCCTCTCCTCACTGTGGCAACCCTTTTTTTTTCTTTTGCAATTTGTAATAGCTTATATGCATTTTTTATTGGAGACTAAAGGCTGCTAACCCCTTCATTTCCGAAGGAAAAGTCTAAAGCTCCTTCATTTCTTGGTTGCAACTAGGTCGCTACTTTGATAAGAAAAAATGTGTAAGCTTGACTTCAATCATGACTTGTACTAAGTAAAGTGTAAACACAGTCAATGCATGCCAAATCTAATCCAAATTACTAATAGCTTCTTTCTCCTCTAATATAATTTGCCAACATGTAAGCAAGTTTCATGTCAAAATGATCGGTACTATATGTTTACTTGAGGCGTATGAACTGGTAGGTGCTCTCTCTCTCTCTCTCTCTCTATCTATCTATCTATCTAAAATAAAAATAAAAATCGTAAAAGAATAAAGTTAAAACAAGCAACAGGGACTGTTGGTTTGGAGCAGAACAAAGTAGCGTAAGCGTGGAGTGAAAGTGAAAACTTTAATGATTTCTGTGTATGTACCATGTAGCGAGATGGACCAAAAAAAACGAAGAAGTGATGAATAGTAGGGAGTAGCAAGGCGCGCACGCGCGAACTCACCGTGGTCGTCGGAGTAGGCGAGGAGCGCGACGATGTTGGGGTGTCGGAGGCGGCGGAGCAGGTCGAGCTCCTGCCGGAACGCGCGCAGGCGGCGCTCGCCGCCGCACCAGCGATGCACCTTGACGGCTACAGGCGAGCCGTCCAGGAGCCTGGCGAGGTACACGGTGCTGGAGCCGCCGCGGCCCACCACGGCGGCCTCGTCGAAGCCGCCCGTCAGCGCCTCCACCTCCCGCCACGCCAGCCGCCGCGGCGCCTGCTGCTGCTGCTGCGCCTCCTTCTTGACGGATGCTATTAGTAACGTTTGCTGCTGCTGCTGCTTGGCCGCCGCCGCTGCTGGCTGTGGCTGACGATGACAACGCGCTGCTGGTGCTCGCGCCTCCGGGTCGGGTCGGCGTCGGCGGAGGAACGACGGCGGTGGAGGGCGGCGAGGCAGTGGCGGATGAGGAGGAAGGCGATGGCGCCAGAGGCCAGCAGCAGGACGCAGAGGAAGAGCAAGGCGAGCGCCACGGCCACCTCCATGGCGCCCCCTCTCTCTCGCGGTAGGCTGCTCGCTGCTTCTCTGTCAGAACTCAGAAGTCAGAAGCAGCTGCTGTTTGCTTCAGTGTGGGGAAAGCAAGGCACGGCACAGGAAGGGGAGAGGTGAACAAGCCCGTGGTGTATATATAAAAAATTATAAATATATATTAAAATGGGAAGGAAAAGTGGTGGCAAGTTAAAAGGCAGAGCTTGATACATATGCATCAGCTAACCTCATTCATTTATGTTTAGCTTTAGCTTGCTTCGCTCGCTCGGTAGTTGAAGAGGGCCACTTCAGAAAATTAAACAACTGCTTAATTAATTTGTGGAGTAGATACAAAAAAAAAGATATGATTTTTACATGAAAGATTCAAATTTTGACCCTCAGAATATACTCGGTCAATTTTTTATAGCATCAGATGACGATCAAATCAAATCAAATCAAATGGGCCGTATAGTGTTTAACACTACAGGAGATTTTGAGAAGCGCTGTTCAACTCAGAGCGTGGACGGCGGAGTATTATACGCGCTCTTAATTACGTACTTGGATCCAGTCTAAGTATGAAGTGAACTCCCATACAAATTAATGTACAGTGGGGTACATTTGTACACGGTTAACGAACCTAAAAAAATATATGGGAGTGTGATCCGAGTAATAAAAAAGTTACTGTGGGGGTAGCACAAGTAACCACCTGTACATGTACTACACGATAGAAATTTGCATGCAATGAATGAACGGTGGTTCCGATGCCTAATACAGGTTGTGTACGTGTAATAATAAAGCTAGAATTAAGAGAGGGTACAGTAATCAGGATGAGGAGTTATTAGCCGGCCTGAAAATTGTCTGAATGCGTATGACTACTGCTGTTTGGTTCAACAGCGTAACAACCATTGGTAGATGCAGCACCAAAAAGAAAAAAAGCACTGTGCACAAGCATTACTAAACACTGTGTTAATAGTAAGCTAGGCATGTTTGGATCACCTAATTACAACTAAAATTTATCTGTGGACTAAAATTTAGTTGGGGGTAAAGCCATCAACCCGTGCACATGCACGGGCTAGTGATTTATATAATTTATATCTTCATTAGTTTTTTACGTAATAACATGTCAGGACAGATAAAGTTTCCCTAACAATATGGGTACAGGCTATAATTTAGAATGTTGTGACTCTGTTGAACTATATAAAATGAGTCCTTCTGTCAGTAATAAGACCTTATGCTCCCTCTATTAAAGGTTAAGTGCACTTTTTAATTAGAAAAAAGATAAGTATGCACATCTAAACATGTTCCTAGCTAGAGAGTGCTCACAAAATCAAGTGATTAGGTTTACTATATTATTATTTGTGTATTGAAAAATGTATTATAATATGTCGTCGTTAATGTCTTCCAAGCTACATGCGTTGACTGGTGGCTAGTTTCAAGGAAGCTGATTCCGAAGGAACGCATGCGAGGCTTCGATAGTCTGGTCCTGCTCACCAGATGGATATTATGGAAGGAACGTTCCGACAGCAAAGATCCATGCACACACAGATGCTCCAAACGATCGTTGAGGAGGCGCGGGAATGGGTGCAGTGAGGGCGGGGCACACACAAATTCAGTCGCTTTGGCAGGGCTTATGAAAGCGAAGCCTCCATTGTCGAGTGTTGCAAAAATTGTTCATGTAATACAGTACTAATGGTTGTAGCGCTGGGAGAAGGATTCGGTAATTGATGATTATTGATCTTTCTTGTAAAACTATTCTCCTTCGTCTTAATGAATGACACGTGTCCGTTCACGAAAAAAATGTATTATAATCATAAGAAAGGCATGCAAATTAGCATTCTATAAAACCATACGAATCAAGGCATATATAGATCTAAATGCATGGAAAGCTTAAATGTTGACTCACATCTTGATGAATTTGCTGAAGCATGAATGTCCGCAGTAGAAACATTTTAAATCACGCTTGAGATCACCAGTTTTTCGTTGTAGCAGTATAGACACACTCACATAGTCACAGTTGATAAATATATAGACACTCAAGCATGCGGGCAACCAAACCTATGTAACTTCGACTACAGTATATGGCCAAATAATTGGACGGTTGTTCATATGCATATAGTAGTACTGGACTTGTTTTGATTTTTTTAAACTGGAATTTTGTAACATATTATTTGTTACCATTTTTAAAAAACATCTAGTGGCCCATGTCATACCATGTCCATTCATAGTCTCGGAAACAGAATAACACAATAATAACTACTCCCTCCGTTGCAAAATGTAAGCCATTCTAGCTTTTCTAGGTATACATTATACCTATATATAGTATATACTATGTACCAAGAAAAGTCATAACACCTTACAATTTGGAAAGTAGGGAATATATGTTTTGTGAAATTTCATAAAGTGATTTAGTTCACTCATGTTGTTGTAATCTGTAGCCACTAATAATAAAATAGGATAAGGTCTATTTGGATCCATTGTGATAATAATAATTAGCTAAAATAATCTAATTGTGATCCAAATGGCTAGATTATGGATGGAATTATAATGAAAACACCATATTTACAATACTCCTACAATCTATGGAAGACCTACTTTTTGGAGGTTATGTGGTGTATTTGTCACTTTAACCAACAATAATCCACCACAATAACCTAGGGACCCAAACTCTCTGATCATTATAATCCATAATACGTACCATATACCTTCTTTTTTTGTATACAATTTCTACTCCCTCATGAGCCCACGTCGCTCGCTACCGAACACTATACAACACTGTTTAACCCTGTTTTTTTTTTGTTACCTATTAGGTAACAAATCATTTTTTTGCGCATATACCACATGCTGCTCTACGGTAAAATAATTTATAAGGCAGACTTTCTTTGATTTTGCATGCCAAAAAGATTGTAACTTCACCCACGCGAAGCACGGGGTTACCTGCTTGTACTCTATTATAATAATGTAACTATGATTAACTCGGCCCTACATCTCCTTATATTCAAGATCCCTTAGCTCCTAAACTTAATCCTCCATATCCTCATCATATAGGATGCTCCCTAACAAAAATTCTCCTTAAATATTCCTGTCCTTTAATTGTTCTCCCGTGCTATCTCAGATAACATACATGGTGGACAATATGCCACCCTAAATAAAATTAGGGGGAGGGAGGATTAGTTTACTACTAAATATAGGATGTCGGATAGAGGAACTGTTGGAAGCCAGGGTGTTTTTTTTATGGCATACACCTTAATTTTGACTTTAATAGGTTGTATAGGAAACTCTTTGAGATACCCTACCTGCTCTCTTGGTTTCATGATTGCCTTAGACTATTGGTTCGGTGGTGAATCAGACAACACTTTCATCCTAGGTTATCGAATTCTAAGTGATTATATTAACTTACGAATAAGAACCTATTTGGATACCCTCGGATCATAATAATCAGATTATGTAATCATTTTGATCCAAACAGGGTTGATTATATGATGGATTATTGTAATCAAAACTCATGATTACCATAATCCCAAAATCTAGGTGAGACCAGGTTATTGAGGATTCTAAGTGCTGAAAGTCCAACTTGCCGCCCAACTGACTATCCAACTTGCCCTCCCACCGATTGTCCAACTTGCCAAACTATGAAGGATAAGACAGTAAATTCTCACTTTAACCAACCATAATCAATCACCACAATCCATTATCCATAATCCTAATTATAATAATTCTATGTATAATCCAGGTTATAATAATCCAATTGTGATCCAAACAGACCCTAACTCATAGGTACAAAAACATTCTTCTTTTCCCAAAAAGTAAATAAGTAGGAAATTAAGTACTTACATTGTTTACATAGAGATGCATGTATGCATTAAGTACCTTGATGACTGACACCTTGTACTTAACGTTACCTGGGTCGCAATTTGCCATTGGTGCATCTTGCGGTGGTCAGGTCGATACATAGCCAGGGATGATGCAATCTTCAGATCAAGCATATCAGATTCCGTTGTAACGATCAACCGCGAGGAGGCAATGCATGCATGGAAAATGATTCATGCAGAAATATCTCCTGCACCTTGCAGTTGCAGACCTTGCCACAACGGCACCACCAGCATGAGATTTAATCTGGCTGGTTATGAAGAAAGCACGGCGGTGTGTAGCCTCCCACCGCAGGCACACCGCAGATCGTCGTATCTTTATATGCAATGGCCGGCCTCATGCACATGCCTACTAGAACAACTTCTTCTTACCATCCGCAACACAGCTGAAGCCATCTTTGAATGGCATGCATGTCGCGTGTGCTGCTGGAACTCGGACGCTGGTAGGAGAATTAGAACACGCCACGGAGAGGAACGGGAGAAGCTTGTTGAAAAAGCGATGTCCTCGGTTAGATTAGATGGGTTCTCGGTCAAAAAAATAAAACACGGCGATTTTGGTAAACAATTTTAGGCAGTTGTTTAATTTAATTTACATAATGGCAATGGTGAGTAATTTTTTAGAAAATCAAACTGATTGATCCCATGGTTATTATCGCTAGTGATGATTAAAGCTTATTAAATTGATGGCCAGATGTTTCTGATTATTGTGAGAATTTCTAGGATATATCTTTTTTCTAGCACGTCTGGTGAGAATTAATGTGGTGACTCCGTTGGGGCCTCCAATTAGTAATAGTAAGATGGACTCAAATCAAGTCCTTTTTTTTTGGCAAAGACTCATGTGCACCTTTTACTAAATATAAGTTCACATTTGCTAACTAATTAAGCTAGTTGCTAGCTGGGTTCTAAACACTTTTAGTACATCTGTTTGGATATTTAGGAGTAAAGTTTAGTCCATGATATCTAGTAAAGAAAGCTAAACACAAAGCTTTGCCTAACTTATATTAATATAGTAAACAAGAGATCAACAAAAAACAAAACAAAAGTCCCACAAGCTACATACACCCCTCAAGACAATGGCACACACTACACTAGTTTATTGAAAACTAAACAATATTAATAGAAACAAAAACTAAATAGTAGTAGCATTAGCA